CTGCATCAATCTTACACACAAAAGGACAGGTGATGAATTTAATTGGAACACCTGCCTTAGGAAAAACCATAGATAATAGAGTAAATGAAAGGGATTGGAAACGGAAGCGTGGGCGTGGGCAAACCTCCATTCATTTGTATTGTTGCTAAGTAAACAGAGAAGGGTTGGGATTTTTTGACCGATTTTGGAGTAAAAAACTGGGATTTCCTTGCTTTATTCTTGAATAACTCCAAGAGAATACAATTCATGCAAACAAAACTCACACACAATACTAACTAATGTTTATGCTTTTTATTAATATTTTTTGTTCAGTAAATCAATGCATGCGTTAGTAGCTGCGTCACTCTTTAACTAGAAATACCATCTTTTCCCCCTCTGAGAGACTCATTTTGTTCTTGAGCTACGAATAAGTATAACCATTTTAAAGAGCTTGAAATCTCCTATGGAATGAGCTAATTCGCATATTGATACACTGAAGCTTGAGTGTTTTATGAACGATGAAGTGTTTCAAAAACAGGTGACTTTGTGTACCTCTAACTGGTTGCAAAATGGCTTTTTGGAGATAAAAACCTTGCTGCAGGTAGCTCTAAAAATTCTATGTGGAATAGGCTATATATCAAAAGCAAGCGCTATCCTGGAGCAGTACAAATTTCCTTCGAAATCCTGCCAGAGCAACTTCACCAATGGAGGAGATGGGAAATCAATCAAAACACTGATGGTTGTCACGTGGTAACCCAACCCGCATTTCCTGTTGCTACGCCCCGTTTCCAATCCCTTTCATTTACTCTAATATCTATGGAAAAACTCTTCTTAGTCTCGCCCCGCCCCTATAATAGATTCTTAAAATTATTTCCTAATACAGGAGTGCATTCTACAAAATCAATTTCCACTTTCAAACCATGCCTATTTTTTCATATGCCTCGTCCCTTTAGCTTTTAGCCTCGCTTTTAACATGGATATTAGAGAAAAGATCCTATGTACCTCTTCCTTTCTTATAAGACCCCAGGGCAGACCAGACAACAATAACTGTAATGAATGTAGTGACTTGTGAGGCATTAAGGAAATACAATACCTTTCTCTAGTTCTTTAAATCCGAATCTCAATCTAAAAACACAAGCTTCACACTCTGAGCCCAACCTATCTATGGCCCCACCCTGATTTATGAGCCCCACCCAAAAAAGCTTGTGCCGTATTACTTTAAATAAGCAAACCAAGCCTTCTGAAATTCTGAACTAAACACGTGGTAGCATGTGTTTAGTGATGGACAGGATTTTAAAAGATATGCTGAGTGTAATGGAGACACACATTGACTTTGAGAGACTATTAGAAGAAGTAAATAATCCAAACACTATCTCTTTATATATCTCTATCAGTTAGGATCAGAATCAACCAATCTACCTGATATATCACAAGGTACCCAGTCACGTGACACTACTCACTGATCACGTGATCACAGGTTGGTCTGATGGTTTGAGACGAGCGATAGATCATCAAGCAATGAGTCTGTCTCAGTCTCCAGAGACGTTTGGTACATGGCTACTGATTAATAAACTAAAAGAAACAAATGATGTAATACTGATGTAATTAATGTATTATTAATATTGTTACTATTATTAGGATAAGGTGATTGATGGGGTAATTAGTGTGGGCATGGTATTATGAGATTTGATCTATGATATATATTAGTTATAAAAATTTAATTGAAAGTACATACATCTAACAAACATACACAATGTACATGTATAATGTCCTGTTGTTATTGTTTTTTTGTTTTTAGGAGAATCAATCTATGTTTGCTAAATATGCCAAAAGAGAATGTAAAAGTTAAATAACTCTACTAATAATGGTAATGGAAAAGCATAACAAGTCCCTGGAGAGAGAAGTGGTTAGTTCTCGCAAGCACTTTGTTCATTTACAAGAACAGCTCAAACACATTGTCATGGAGAGAGATGTACTAGCAAACGAAAGAGACAAAATGTCCGCCATAATTCGGCACCTTGAGTCCCAGCTGTCCATCCTCCGACAGGGTGGGGGCGGGCATGAAAAGACCACACCCTTAGGCTGACTCCTCTCGCCTAATTTACACGCAACGACCGCTCAGCCTAGACTGGAGAACAGGTGACTCACTGATCCTTATTTTAAGGATTTAAATCCGAAGCATCCTCCACAGCA